GGAGCAAAAGGCCAAGGAGTCGCTCTCGCAGTTTACGAGCGACGGAAAGACGTTCGAAGCTGAGAAACGCGAGGAGCAGCGCCGTCTGGAGGAGATCGAGCGCAAGAAGGAGCAGGACACCAAGAACCTTCACGCTACCACGACGTACTCAACCGAATACGATCACTCGTACAACCACCACGTTAAACAACGCGAAACTACGACAAAAGCGGAGCAAGATGCGCAGAAGGCTCTGAGGAATTTCGCTGGAGGCAAAACGTACTTTGAGGAGCAGCTAGAGGAGAAGAAGCGGATGCAGGAACTGGAGCGACAGAAAGAACAACACGCCAAGGAGGCGTCGGCGAAGAACAACTACTCGTCGCCCGATTTCGATCACGCTTACGTCCATGCGAAGGAGGTTGCGCAGGTGGAGAAAGAGGCCGAGGAAAAGGCCAAAGCTGCGTTGCTAAAGTACGATCAGCACGACGTCTCGCATGAGTATATCATGAAAAACGGCATGATGGTGTCCAAGCATGCCAGCGGGTCTGGAACCCCCAATGCCAAGCGCTATCCTTTCACAGACCCTGCTGCACGGATCAAGAAGCCTAGTCCTCAAGCTATGAAGGCGCTGGCGAGATTCCAAGAGCAGCTCGCTGAGAGCCGTGCACGTGAGGAACGTAAAGCGTCCGAGGAAGCGTTGCGCAAGGCATCGTGGGAGTCTGGCCGCAAAATGTCGATTGAATCGGTGGAATCTATGGGGTCGGTACGCAAGCAATCCTTCGATGAAGTTGATATTGAACAGATCAAGGCTTCTGTCGATGAAGCCAAGCTCGACGTGAGGTCTGCTGCTCAGAAGTTTGCTGCGATGGATCGTAAAGCTGCTGAACTGGCCAAGCAGAGTAAGAAGCCGATGACGTTCAACGGTGTATCCTATGGTCACAGTGGACGAGTCTTTCGTACGAAAGAGCAGGATCAGAAGGAGACTCAGCGCAAGAACGACATGGCTACACGGATCCAGTCCCGTGTGCGTGGAGCAATGGCTCGCGAAGCCTATAACGAAAGAGTGTCGTCTGCGGAGAGAATAGCAATCCGCATCCAAACGGAATTCCGACGACGTCAAGCTCAGAAGCAACTAGAAGACCTTCGCCAACGGCTACAGCGTGAACAAGAGTGCGCTGTTGTTATCCAGAAGCTTATGCGCGGCCGCTCGCAACGGAACCGCTATCAGACTGAGCTCGCTGTAAGGAAGGCGGCGGCCGTTTTGCTGCAATCACTTGTTCGCACCAGACAAGCACAAACTGCATACACAAAGCAGATAACCGCAGCACACGAAATCCAAGCGTTTGGTGCACGAATGCTAGCAGGACGAAAGGCCAGGAACGAGGCGGTTTGTCTTCGTAAAGAGCGCGATGCAGCAACTGTTATTCAGTCCGCGTTCCGGACAAGAGCTGCCAAATCACAAGCTGAAACTCTACGAGCTGCAGTTGTTCGACTACAATGCGCATGGCGTCAATCGATAGCAAGATATACTGTTTCACACCTTAAGCATCAAGCCGAAATTGAAGCTTCCGCCCGCAACCAGCTTGAGCAGTCAATGGCTACTAAAATCCAGAGCCACTGGCGCGGTTCGGTGGCCCGGTCGGAGGTGGCCACGCTGCGTGCCGAGTCTGTCGAGATCGAG